CTCATCTTTTATCTCTCTCATCTTTTATCTCTCTAGTTTCAGAGAAGTGGATAACAACAAAAGCCTCAGCACCGTCACTTCGTCTCTCTCTCTCTCTCTCTTTGTGCTGTGTTTGAAAAGTTTGAGCGGTGAGGAAGAGGATTTTCAATGGATTTCGGAAGGTAATATTCAATTTCAGGAAATGATAGAGCGTAATTCTTGTACTATTTCGGCTTTTTTGCTGGTTAATTTTGTTGTTTTTGGTTTTACTGCTGTTTTGATATGTAAACTTGATTCAAGGAGCTTGAAATTGCGGAGTGATATCTCTTTTCAATCTGATATGAACGTGGTAGTGGTTGTGGCGCTATCTGTTCATGATTTTTTGTTCATCTGCTGAGTTTTAGTTTTGATTGTGTTGATCCGTTGCTGTGGTTATTGAGTCCGGAGTTTGCGGTTGGATGTTTTTGGTTATTTTTTACTTTCTGAATTGTTTGTTATCGACTGAGATATGCGTTTTTTCGGCATGTTGTTTTGACGAACTATAGGCGTTTTGTTTGATATGAACTGCTGACTTTCTTTGCAAGTTCTGCCACTTGTCCTCTTCTTCAACGCCTTTGATCCTTACGTTACTGCTTGATTGTCCTCATTTCTTTCTCATTTTTCGGGGATGGGATAAGATTTTGATTGACTCCGAGTTTCTCGATCTAAAAGCAGCAGGTCATCTTTTTTCATTTAAAGCGAAGAGTTACAGTCGGCGTGAACATAAATTCATGTAGACTCTCAAGTCTATTTCTGTTTCTGGTCATAAAGGATAGTTTAGTTTTGCTTTAGAGATGGAGAAATTTGCTGGAAATTCTTGGGGGAAGATTATACTCGAATGAATCAAACGTGGCGTTTCTTACACGCAGAGTTTAGAATCTTAGTGTTAAGGGTATGGATTGGAAGCGAAACTATGAGCGCTTGAATTTCTTGCAATCCGACACTCTATGTTGATTTCTCCTTTTTTGACGTTGAAAATACATCTCACGATAATTAAATCTTGGATCTATTTTATATTATCTTCTGATTCTCTTTCTCTTCTTTAATATGTTTTTATTTATCCTTTCTTCAAGTCTGCTAGTATGAATGTTTGTTTTCCACACTGAAAAATATTTAATTAATCGGATTAATTCGCTTGTGCATATAGCTATATGTTTCTTCTACGCTTCGTTTCTTTTATTTATTTAATCTGATGAGTTTGACTTTATTATTGTTATTTTTTTAAGTTTTATATTGCAGCCATAACCAATTCAAAGTAATCGTGCTTCTTGAGGTAGCATTTAAGTTTCTAACGAAGTATTGGGTTGTTAATTTTTCGACAGGATATCATGAATGAACGATTTTCTGGAATGTTTCGCCTGAACTTTAAATTCTGTGGACCGTAAAATCCCTGTTTTGTTTGAACAGTGCTTAGATAAGAGATCAATCCATCCACCACCAATTGGTTTCAAGCCAACGATAGTGAGGTTATTCCAATGATGAACACCATGGGAATCTTTGAAGATATTGGCTTTTGCCAAAATCTTGAATATTTTTCGGCTCCTTCTGGGGAACAAGAGACGGGTCGGGAGCATGAAGGAGAGGCTACTTTGGAGGAAGATTATAGCGATGAAGAGCTGGATGTTGACGAACTTGAGAGAAGGATGTGGCGTGATCGGATGCTTTTGAGGCGACTCAAAGAACAAAGCAAAGAGAAGGAAGGGGATGATAATTCAAAGCAGCGTCAATCCCAGGAGCAAGCCCGAAGGAAGAAGATGTCTCGGGCTCAAGACGGTATCCTGAAATATATGTTGAAAATGATGGAGGTTTGTAAAGCTCAAGGTTTCGTTTATGGGATCATTCCTGAGAAAGGAAAGCCAGTGAGTGGAGCTTCTGATAATCTTCGTGCCTGGTGGAAAGAACGAGTCAGATTCGATAGAAATGGCCCAGCAGCCATTACCAAATATCAGGCTGATCATGCAATTCCTGGGATCAATGATGACTGCAATACAGTGACATCCACCCCCCACACTTTACAAGAGCTCCAAGATACAACCCTTGGATCACTTTTGTCTGCTCTGATGCAGCACTGTGATCCACCCCAGCGTCGTTTTCCATTAGAGAAGGGAGTTTCCCCACCGTGGTGGCCTACTGGAAACGAGGAATGGTGGCCTGAATTGGGATTACCCAAGGACCAGGGGCCTCCCCCTTATAAGAAGCCCCATGATCTGAAGAAGGTTTGGAAAGTTAGCGTTCTCACTGCTGTGATTAAGCACATGTCGCCCGACATTGCCAAGATTCGCAAGCTTGTTCGTCAGTCTAAATGTTTGCAAGACAAGATGACTGCAAAAGAGAGTGCTACATGGCTGGCCATTGTAAACCAGGAAGAAGCCTTGGCCAGGAAATTGTATCCTGATAGATGCCCACCTGTGTCGATCTGTGGGAGCGGATCTCTTTTAATCAGTGACAGTAGCGATTACGATGTTGAAGTAGTGGAAGACGAACCAAATATCGAAACAGAGGAAAGGAAGCCTCATGATCTCAATTTCTTTAATATGGGGGCTCCTGGACCTAGAGAGAGGCCAATGATGCCACCATTGGGACCTCAGATAAAGGAAGAACTCATGGAGAACAGTTCAAACTTTATTCAAAAGAGGACTCTGATTACTGATGAGTCAAGTACAATGATGCCTCAGAAGATATATACTTGTGAATATTCTCAATGCCCATATAACAGCTCGCGCCTCGGGTTTCTCGACAGGTCTTCGAGAAACAACCACCAGTTGAACTGCCCATTTAGGAGTGATTCTTCCCCAATATTTGGCATCCCAAACTTTCTAACTAACGATGATAAATCATCTCCAGTTCTTCCCTCCTTTAACCATTCCAAGCCTCCTAGCCGGCCTATGAACCCAACTCCACCCCTCAGAGTATCAGGCCTTGGACTTCCAGACGACGACCAGAAAATGATCACTGACCTTCTAAGTTTCTACGATTCTAACCATCAACAGGACAAGATTTTGAATTCCGGGAACGTCGAAGCAAGAGCCGATCACAACCAACAGCTGCCAAAATTCCAACTCCAAGTTGATGATAACTTGTATTGCCAAGGAGCAATGGTGGGGGGAAGTAGCATGCCAATGCAGCTCCCTGATTTCTCTTCCACAAAAGTCCCATTTGACGAATACAAGACGTTCGATTCTCCTTTCGGCATGTATCCTAACGATAACATTCCCGACTTCAGATTTGGTTCTCCCTTTAACTTGGCATCAATCGATTACCCAGTAGACCCACCGTTGCCAAAGCAAGATACACAATTGTGGTACCTTTGAGTCGAAATTACTTCAAGCTCGGATGATCGGAAGTAAGCCCAAAGGCCAGCCATCTTCATGCCATTAAGAAGGTGCATTTTCTTCCCATCTATATGCTAGTTGTTTAATATATATATATATATATACATACATACATATATATACGCGTCTGTGTGAGAACGTACTTAGATGTTCTACAACTACAATCTTTTTAAGGCTTTTTTACATATAATGTAGGATATAATGCTACTGAGTGTAGTAGTAAAGTTAAAAAAAAGTTCACTAATTCAGGAATCTTAAGCTCTCAATTGATACTGTATTTCTGGGAACTTTTAGTCGTGAATGAAAGTAGCTGTTGCTTTTATAATGTTTATAATTTTGGATACTTTCTTAAACTAGTTGATGGATTATTATTTTGTTTTTTTTCTGAGCTGCAATATGTCATTATATCCATCAAATTCCTTTTTCAGTTATTTAATGAAAGGGAGATTGAGATATGTCAGCCTCTATTCTATAAGATTATAATTTTAAATGGTTGGTTACTTTTATTTTATTTGTTCATCTTTTTACTTTTGACCTTTTTCATCTTTTTATTTATTTTATATTTTTAATGACCTTTTTTCGGTCAGTATATATATATATATATATATATTTTTCAGATTTGGGTTATTTTATCCATTAATATATGCACGGCTATATGAGTTCTGTTTCAAAATGGTTTTTATACCATTATCATTAGGGTGATGCATAAATAATTTAATATATGTATCTACTGAAGAATATATATATCTACTAAAAATCTAATATATAATCTAATATATGTATCTACTGAAGAATCTAATTATCCTGGATCTTTCATATACATATATTTTACCCATTAATAAATTTAAAAATGTATAAAAGAATTATATATATAGATTATATCGAGATGTTTGAAATTTGATCTTTCAGTAATATTGCTACTTTTTTTTTTTACTAGTCCAAGAACAACTCCATTGGTCATTTTAAGATCAAACCACTATGATCTTTTTGAACCGATTGACTGACGATCAAACACTAAAAAACACTAAAAAAAATTGGGTTAAGGATTATACAATTTGGGCATCACACTTTTACTACAAATTTAAATAATATAAAAAAAGTATTAAAAATCACAAAACTTATGTTAAAAAATTATTTGAATAAAGAAAATTAATGTTTCTAATAAGGTGGGTTCGATTTCAATTTAATGAATATTCTTTGAATCTATTCAATTATAGTGCTGTTATTATGAAGATATATAATATAAAATTGTCGAAAACTTAAAAAAAAAAAAATTTTTAAAAATGAAAACACTAGATTCACAAACTTTGCCCTTTTCAATATTGGTATATAATGAAATTTAAGTTGCCAACCAAAAATAAATAATCCACAAGGGTTTAATTGTAAATTCATAAATGGTATAAATTTTTTTAAGAAGAAATAAATGCATCAAAAGACAATTACTATTTGTTTGGAAGTAATTTTTATAGGATGAAAATCCCGTTTAAAACCATAAAATCGAACCTTGAGTCGATTTAAATGATTAAAAACATGTTTGAAAGTAATTTTAAGTATATCAAAAGTGATTTTAACCACTTTATAACTAGTCTTGAACATGTATTTTCACCCGAGAATTAAATCTCAATTCACATCTCTTTCGAAATAAGTTCATATGAAACAATCTCAACTTCGATCTTCAAATCTTCGCATCTAATAATGAATAAATTACGAACAGAGGGAAGTGTTAAACATTGACTTTGTTTTGTCTTTCTTCCCCAACTCCTATTCTCCTTTCTTTATTCCCTAAAATGCCTCATTTTTCAATCCAAATTTTAATAACTAATCCACAACTCTCATGATGTAAGTCCCTCATTCCAATCCTCTTCCTTTTCTCTCATCATTCAACTACCTCTTGTCCTCTTCCTTATCAATTTTCTTCCACCAAATATTCCCAGATTCCTTCTCTTCACCCTCCTGGGTGGTTTCTTCATCAAATTTTCGAGCGAAAATGATACAGCAAGCTCGAAAACTCTCCGACGAGTATGAGATATCGGACGTTATAGGGAGAGGAGGATTCTCAGTAGTCAGGAAAGGTATCAGTAAGTCCAGAAGAGAGAAAAAGGAAGTAGCTATTAAAACACTAAGAAGAATTGGACCATCAGCTTTCATGGGATGTCCACCAAATCGAAATGCTCTCAAGAGTGTGACTTCCATGGTTCCTACAAGAAAGTCTATGATTTCTGATGCTCTATTGACAAATGAGATTTTGGTAATGAGAAAGATAGTTGAGAATGTCTCACCTCATGAAAATGTGATTGATCTTTACGACGTGTATGAAGATTCGAACGGGGTTCACCTCGTGTTGGAGCTTTGTTCTGGAGGCGAGCTTTTCGATAGGATCGTGGCTCAGACGAGACACACTGAAGCTAAAGCTGCTGCAGTTGTGAGACAGATTGCTAGTGGTTTGAAGGCTCTTCATGAAGTCAATATCATTCACCGTGACTTGAAACCCGAAAACTGTCTCTTCCTCGACGAAAGCCAGGACTCTTCCTTGAAAATCATGGACTTTGGATTGAGTTCTGTGGAGGATTTCACTGACCCAGTTGTTGGATTGTTTGGTTCCATAGATTATGTCTCACCAGAAGCACTTTCCCAAGGAACAATAACCTCCAAAAGTGATATGTGGTCTCTGGGAGTGATTTTGTACATCCTTCTCTCAGGGTATGTAATGGAATCTCCTTTCTGCAAGAAAAAAAAGGTCAAAGTTCATTATTCTGCAGCTCCTATGCAAAATGAAGTGAACTCAAATAAATTTCTTTACATAGGTACCCGCCTTTTATCGCTCGGTCCAATCGAGAAAAACATGAACTGATCATGGCTGTAAGTGATCTTCAATTATGTTGTCAAATCTATAAACTTGTATGTTAGATTGTTTGCAAGAAAATGTGCTCCTTTTGTGAATCTTTGGTTGAATGCAGGGAGAGTTCAGTTTCCATGAGAAAACTTGGAAGACGATTTCTTCTTCGGCTAGGCAACTGATTTCGAGTCTGTTGACAGTTGATCCTCAGAGGAGACCGAGTGCCCAAGAGGTACGAGGGGGCTTGGCCTTAGTGTAATTTGCTGGATTGCTTGTGAGCCTAACAAATTTCATGACACAGCTTCTAGAGCATCCATGGGTCATGGGTAATTCAGCCAAGCAAGATCAAATGGATGCTGAGATTGTATCACGACTTAAGAGTTTCAATGCCCGACGCAAGCTTCGAGCTGCAGCGATAGCTAGCGTATGGAGCAGCACGATTTTATTGAGGACAAAAAAGCTAAGATCTTTGTTGGGGTCTTATGATCTCACACCTGAGGAAGTTGAAAGTTTCAGACTCCATTTCAAGACAAAGTAAGTTTGCTATAAATGCAATGGCTTACAATCATCTAATGGCATACTAATCTAGTAACCTTAGTAGACAAAATTAATGAGAAATGATTAATTTGCATACCTTGCAATAAGCAGATGTGCAAAAGGGGACAATGCTACTCTTCCTGAATTTGAAGAGGTGCTGAAAGCAATGAATATGTCTTCACTTATCCCTCTTGCACCTCGAATTTTCGACCTCTTTGACAATAACCGGGATGGAACAATTGACATGCGCGAGTTACTTTGTGGATTTTCGAGCCTTCGTAACTCACAAGGCGATGATGCTCTTCGCCTATGTTTTCAGGTGCGTATTCAATTACAAAAATACACAACACCCACATACACAACATTCATAGAGAATTTAATCCTTCGAATGCTACTTAGAACCACCTTTAAAAGAAATCTAAGTTCCAGAGAGGCAAATTCATGATCCTTTAGAATTATTTTAGACAGTTGCATCAGTGACTAGAGAAAGGGCTACAACTCCATCTCGAGGCTAAAAGTTGCAAAATCCCTTTTTCTGATGCCTCTCCTACTCTCCCACAATGTAACAGCTCAAGCTCACTCTTATCAGATATTGTCCTCTTTGAACTTTTCCTTTCGAGCTTTCCCTCAAAGTTTTTAAAACGCTTTTACTAGGGAGAGGTTTGCACACCCTTATAAAGAATGTTTCGTTCCCCTCTTCAATCGATGTGAGATCTCACACACAAAGACTCCTCTTTCTTGAATTCTTCGGATAAACTAATTTTCACACCAAACATACAAGAGTGAAGAATGAAGAATCAGGAAAGGGTGTCTTCCCAAAACTAAGAGTCATCACTATGCAGCATAGAGCACGAAATCAGACCTTACTATATCATAAGGATAGAAGACTATTTAAGGATTTGTCATAAGACTCACAGGACGCCAGTTCCATTCAAATCATCATTAAACCTCAAAACTTTTTGGCCTCCCTCCAACATTGAATGCACAGCCATCCCTCCACAATTTCAACAGCTCATCCACATATTAGCCAATACTGTTTATTGTTACTGCAACTTGTAGCCAATGAGCACGAACCTTGTTGCTGAGAATGTCCTGCACATAGAAAACATTGTTACCGAATCCATTACTTTGCGAACATACTACAATCACAAAGCTTTAATGATTATTATGGTTGATAGATGTACGATACAGATCGGTCCGGGTGCATCACAAAGGAAGAAGTTGCATCAATGTTGAGAGTAATGCTCCTTCCTTGATTTTTGCTTCATTCATGTTACTTGGTATTATGCTTTTTCTTTTGTTTCTTTAAGCATGATGACCTTCATAATTTTAAACAGGCTTTACCTGACGATTGCCTTCCAGTGGACATCACAGAACCTGGAAAATTAGATGAAATATTTGATTTGATGGATGCCAACAGTGATGGAAAGGTTACCTTCGATGAGTTCAAAGCGGCCATGCAGAGGGACAGCTCCCTCCAAGATGTTGTCCTGTCTTCTCTTCGCCAATAAATTTTTAGCTTGCCATGCACACCATCAACATTTCAGTAACAGATCTAGACATAATTTCAAAATTATGTGTCCATTGTGAAAAACAGATCACCAGTAACAAGGGGCAGCGGAAGTATTTTATGTTCAACTTTTTTAATGAAATTCAGTTAAGTGTGACTCTATTGATATAGAGAAGAACTACAGAAGATTGTATACTTCAAATTATTACTCAAGAACTTAGTTCAGCAAAAATCAAAATAACCCAATAAGGCAGGAAACACATTCGACCATTTAATTTTTCATAGAACATACCTAAAGGATAATAATAACTTGCTTAGATTTGCTTTCACTTGCTGACCTGATATCTCACCTGAATTGAACTGCACCGGCTCCTTTTATTTATTGATGGATAATATCATTAATTTGGACTTCTTGAACTCTTCCCACTTTAGATTCTTCCCTGAAAACTAGTTATATAATAAAGAAAGACAGGCAAAGTAAAAGCAATAAAATAAATACAGAGGTTCATCCCAATGTACTTTTACACCTTATTCCATTGGGTCACCAAGATCTGCTACAAATCTTCATTTTCTCCCATTAGACATTTAAACTTCAAAGTAGAAAACCATGAACTCTTTAAGTCAACCTCCCCAAATGAGACATCTAAATCGAGAAATTTTGACCTTCTATAGTTGTAAGAAAGGGTCCTTTCAGTCTTTAAGCATCACCCTAATAGCAACTTAGGAAGCCAATCTTCAAAATCCTTGGGAGGGCACCAAACTAAGCTGAAAGGTTGGCACATGAAATTTCAGCCCTTGAAAGCGAACAGACAACGAAAGAGCAAATGGTTGAGCAACGCTTCATTTTCTCAAATACATAGAGCGGGATCTTTGTGGATGTAAAGAAACCAGAGGATCTTAATGCTCTCTGCCTCTTTAGGCTATCATGGTTCACCAAGCTTGAAATTAGGTCCCTCCCTTAGAATATTTGGAAGTCAAGAACATAGGATATTGGTAATTTAATTAGTAGTCCAAGGGATTTCGATAACCATTAAGCTAAATCTAATGCCCTTGACACCATGCTTAAATTATCCTACAAGGTTATCTGTCTGCACGTCCTTAAATGGATATTAGCACAAGACCAATAAAGATGCCTACTTCAAGTGCCCAAGTGATAACGCGATAGTAAATCCGGGGCCTTTGTTACCATACTACTAGCCAGTAAACTATCTGATCTTTAATAGCTAGGTATTGTCATCAAAGCGTGCATTGATAAAAGATTGGACGCCACATAATGATTAAGAAAAGGGGGGGTGGGGAACTTTTGCTCATTGAATTCCTCTATGCAATAAAATGAACATCAACTTTGCATAACTAATGGAAATTAGATACAGCGCACATTTAGCAGATTATACAACAGAATAGAGCATTCATAAACTAATTATTTATAGACGAGGTAATCAGCTGCTTTTGAACAACAAAACGGAGACTACAAATCATTACTATTTGTACCTCTAGTGTCTTCTCTACCTCTCTCATCTGTGCTGCCAATACAACTATCCATATTGGACAAATTATGTTCCATCAAGGTCTACTGACTAGTGGCCTTCATATCCACCCACCTCTGGGGCTCATCCTCCAACGCCTCAACATCCTCCACCCAATCTTCCATGTTCGCACCAATGGTTTCCAAAAAAACAGGGTCAAGTGCATCTATTGAGCACCTTGTTTTACAAGTCTCCAGTCTCCTGCTTGGGGCACAAGTGGAAGAATATAAAGATAATTTTTCCTTGGCTTTTTTTTTCATAGTATACAAATCCTTACCCCTATTCTTATGGAGAAATTGAAATTTATCTTTTCCAATAAATTTTTTTGTTCAAATGTTGTAATTTTGCAATACAATCCAAAGAATAATGATTCAACACCTAGTCTACAATGCTATACATATCACCAATTTTTTAAATGATGAAGATACGATGTAATGTTCGTCGTTCATGCAACCCAATTTTAAGAAAATCAGAAACAAAGGCTCCCCAATTGACATATCAAACTGACACAAAATACAATAATCCTAACTCCTAAGCTAGCATGGTTTCCCTTCAACACTAAAAATCCTTGCCAAATAAAGATTGAAGAACCATCATGAGTTGGTGTACAAAGTACTTTGGGCTAATGATAGAACCTAAATGTATAGAAATGTAAAGATAATGGAACTGTAAGATAACGAAATATTCGAGGTAATTGGAACCTCCCTTTCATGAGCACTCTCACTCGAGCCCTAACCAAATTCACTGAATCAATTCTTCCTTCCCCATTTCCGAGTACCCCCTATTTATATCCAAATACCATAATTAACTCTCTAATTATTTATTAATAGACCCCTGTAATATCCTTAACTTACTTCTAATGGCAATCCTAAGTTAACTATGGTGGTGAATCAGTTATGATAATGCATGGCGACGCGTAGAAACTTTTAACTGAGTAGAAAAGTAGCATATGAACAATTCTCAGCAACAATTTATAACTTTTTGGATTAGTCAGCAAC